GCGTGGCTGGCTCAGGAATTCTGGGAGTTGAAGTCCACGAGTTATAAAAGAGCCAAGGTTGCCTACCCCTACCATAAACAAATGGTTTAATTAATTAATTATTGGTTAATAATCAGGGACTCCGGCTTTGAAATTTGGGAGTTGCAGCCTGTTCCCAGGGCTCCCTCATGGGGGGGGGGGGGCGATGGATGCCAAGATGCAAAGAAGTAGAATGTGTTGTTTCCCTGTGTCATCTATGTGTGTGTGTGTGGATCTATGCACAATTTTTTTTTAATCATGTTTAGGAAGTATATATCGGAGGTGGTGACCCTTTGAGAGCTGAACGCAACGAAATTTCATTTTAATATATCTTGGTTAGTGGAGGTCTAAACTGACAATAAAGTTTAAAAAAAACCTAGTAAGGCCACACCTGGAATACTGCAGCCAATTTTGGTCACCATATCACAAAAAAGAAGTTGAGAGTTTGGGGGAAAAAAAATCAGAAAAGAGCAACTAAGATGATCCAAGGCCTGGAGACTAAAACATACGAAGAACGGCTGCGGGACTTGGGTTTGGCCAGTCTAAAGAAAAGAAGAAATAGGGGGGGGGGGGACATGATAGCAGCGTTCCGGTATTTGAAGGGCTGCCATAACGAAGAGGAGGGGGTCACATTATTCTCCAAAGCACCAGAGGGAAGGACAAGAAACAACGGTTGGAAACTGACCAAAGAGAGAAGCAACCTGGAATTAAGGAGAAACTTCCTGACAGTGAGGACAATCAACCAGTGGAACAGCTTGCCACCAGAGGTTGTGGGTGCTCCATCACTGGAGATTTTTAAGAAGAGACTGGACAGTCACTTGTCTGAGATGGTATAGCTTCTCCTGCTTGAGCAGGGGGCTGGACTAGAAGACCTCCAAGGTCCCTTCCATCTCTGTTATTCTATTCTATTCTATTCTATTCTATAGTCTATTCTGTTCTGTTCTGTTCCGTTCCATTCTATTCCATATTTTCTGTTCTATTCTATTCTATTCTATTCTATTCTATTCTATTCTATTCTATTCTATTCTATTCTATTCTATTCTATTCAGCTCTGCTGGCTCTCCCTCCAACTTCTCCCCCTAAGCTGTGGGGCACAAGGGCAGCCAAGGGGATCTGCTCCTGCCCGGACCCTCTACCCACCCAGCCCAATGGAGGAAGCTCCACCAGGACTTCACGTCTGGTGAGGAGGAAAAAAAAAACTTGGAGGTTTCCTGGGGTCTCCTATGTCCCCCCCCCTCAAAAGGCCCTGAAGACCTGATTTTGCCAGCGGGCCTGGCGAACCCTGAATGGGATGGAGTCCCTGAAGTGGCTGATCTGAGTGTGTGTTGTCGGCGGTGTGTGTGTGTGTGTTATTAATGTATTATTTTATTTATTATTATTTTTTATTATTATTTTACTTCTAGCCCAGTGGTTCTCAACCTGTGGGTCGGGACCCCATTTGGGGTAGATCGACCATTTCATGGGGGTCGCCAAGCAAGGCTGTCTGCCATTTTTTTTGTCCACCATTTTTTTTGTCCGCCATTTTTTTTGTCCGCCATTTTTTCCCCCCTTTTCCAGCGGGTGCCTTACCTCCCTTGGGCTGGGCCAGCTGGTGGTCGGCCTGCTCCGTCTCTGCCACTTGCCAGCTACGCCTCGGCCGGCGCAGGGGGCGGAACCACGCATGCGCAGCGCTCCCGGGCAGGGAAAGTCCTCGACTTACGACCGGTTGGGTAGTCCTCGACTTACGACCGGTTTAGTCCTCGACTTACGACCGGTTTAGTCCTCGACTTACGACCGGTTTAGTCCTCGACTTACGACCGGTTGGGGTCACGGCATTAAAAAGGTTGAGAACCACTGTGGTTTTTATTTTCAGTATGCTGCCTACAGTTGCCATGAACAAGCAGGCGGCTATATAAACTTTCATCAACAAACAAATAAATAGTAAGTAAATAAATAAATAGTAAGAAAGTAAAGTAAATAAACAGAACCAAGGATTCTCAAGCCATTCAGGGTCACCTTGAACCTGATTATCAAATAAAGTTGATAATTGATTATTGATTATCAAATAAAGTTGATAATTTTTTCCCCTTTGCCTCCTGCATGGGTGCAGCAAAAGAGACGGGGGGTGGGTGGGCTGTGGGGGAATTAAGGCAGAGGGAGAGGGGACTGGGGCGGTGTCAAAGGTCATCCCCCCCCCTCAAAACCTTGCACACATCCTGTCAGGTTGTAGCTGACTAAGGGGTCAAATGATGGATGAATAAACAAGCCCCCCCCCTCCCCAGCTTTTCCCCCTTCCTCTGGAGAGCTCCTTTTCCCAGCTGGGTGAAAGGAAATAAATGCCGGCCAACTTGTGTATTGGGGGGGGGGCTTCGGCCAGAGCCACCTCCAGGGATGTTGATTGACTCCAGGATTGGCAAACTTTTCGAGGGGGGGGGAACCGGCACGCCTTCTGCCCCCCTCCCCATTTATCTCCGGCTTCCCTGAATTCTTAGGGTGGACCATCCATGCATTTGGAGGAGGGAGGGGTCCCGTCTTTCCCCACCCGCCCCTGGCAGGAGGGAGGCGGGGAAGGGGGGCCTCGCGAAGGGAAAAAAAAACCCGGAGCAAAATTGAGGATTATAATAATAATAATAAAGTTGGAAGGGACCTTGGAGGTCATCTAGTCCAACCCCCTGCTCAGGCAGAAGACCCTATCCAGGGGTAGGCAACCTTGGCTCTTTTATGACTCATGGACTTCGACTCCCAGAATTCCTGAGCCAGCATAGCTGGCTCAGGAATTCTGGGAGTCGAAGTCCACGAGTCATAAAAGAGCCAAGGTTGCCTACCCCTGCTCTATTCCATTGATTGGTATCTACTTCGCCCCGACTCACCGTGTCCGAGGAAGACCATGCGCCGTTGTCTCTTGCAGCAGCCTCGCTCGACCGGCAGGTTCCGGCTGCCGTGGGGCCGGCCGGACAGCCCAGCACCTGGGGGCAGAAAGGGCAAATGCACGGGCTGCAGGCAGGACCAGCCCAGAAGCGGAAGGGAGAATTTCTTGGACCAGAATAACAAGAGTTGGAAGGGACCCTTGGAGGTCATCTAGTCCAACCCCCTGCTCAGGCAGGAGATCCTTACAGAATCATAGAATAACAGAGCTGGAAGGTACCCTTGGAGGTCATCTAGTCCAACCCCCTGCTCAGGCAGGAGATCCTTACAGAAATATAGAATAACAGACTTGGAAGGGACCCTCGGAGATCTTCTAGTCCAACCCCCTGCTCAGGCAGGAGATCCTTACGGAATCATAGAATAACAGACTTGGAAGGGACCCTCGGAGATCTTCTAGTCCAACCTCCTGCTCAGGCAGGAGATCCTTACAGAAATATAAGCTAATAGAGCTGGAAGGGACTTTGGTGGTCATCTAGTCTAACCCCCTGCTCAGGCAAGAGATCCTTACAGAATCATAGAATAACAGAGCTGGAAAGTACCCTTGGAGGTCATCTAGTCCAACCCCCTGCTCAGGCAGGAGATCCTTACAGAAATATAGAATAACAGACTTGGAAGGGACCCTCGGAGATCTTCTAGTCCAACCCCCTGCTCAGGCAGGAGATCCTTACGGAATCATAGAATAACAGACTTGGAAGGGACCCTTGGAGGTCATCTAGTCCAACCCCCTGCTCAGGCAGGAGATCCTTACAGAATCATAGAATAACAGACTTGGAAGGTACCCTTGGAGGTTATCTAGTCCAACCCCCTGGTCAGGCAAGAAACCCTATATCATTTTGGACAAATGCCTGTCTAGTCTCTTCTTTAAAACCTCCAGTGATGGGGCACCCAAAACTTCTAGAATTTAGGGGGGATCTTGGACAGGCTGCCCCCTCCCCCCTCCCCCCAAAACACCTTTTCCTCCAGCAAAAAAAATCGATTTTTCCTTCAGAGGATTTTTCACATCGTCCTGCTGGACTTTTGACCCTGGCAGAACTGAGAAGGCTGCGTCCCTGGCACCAAGGGTGCTCCAACCAATTCTTGACCGGGCTGTTGAAATGCAGACCCCAGTTCTTGCTTTCCACTTATTTATTTATAAAATGTATTGGTCACCCGCCTTGCCACAAGTAACTTTGGGCGGCTTACAATCCCTTCGCCATTTTATCTGGATCAGACAAAAAAGCAGGATTCTGTTTTTCTAAGAGGCTACGTAACAACATTTAAAGACACCAACTTCCTTTGTGTCACTCAGGATGTCCTGAAGTGCCCTTTATGTAACTGGATCTCTTTTTTTTTTT